CCCCTCTTGGTGGCAGCCAAACTGCCTAACCACGCCCAGAGAATCATTAACAGCCACCACATAGGAAAGGCAGATCATGGCTTGCCTTTTAGTGAAGGCAGGATGGGTTTGAAGGAGGTACAACAGGAGCACCTTATTGTTCGAAGAGCAATTTCAGGAAGAAGCTGATGGACATAAGTAATTTCTTCTTCTAAAACCTTTGCTTGCCACTGACTTCAACCCTTGATCTCCCTAACTGCCACCTCTGCAGGCAAGAGACCTACGACAAAGTGAAAACAATAGAAACAGATTCCAAGATCCTTTTTGACCAAGCTTAAGGCCATTTTACATGACATGGTCAACTCTTGCATGCTTTGCTCACACTCCACTGGTTTCAATTGGCAAGCTGACACCACTTCCCATACAATAACATCCTAATGATTAGAAATGGTAACATTCTAATGATCAGTGTCAGAAATATGTTGCTCCATGCTGCTAAGAAAGCTCTGTGCACCGCTGCCATGGACACAGTAGCTGACAAGACGCTTGGGACTAGCGCTGCTGCTGACCCTCACCAAAGAAATACAGAGGAACTTGCTCCTTTCTTTTGGGGAAGCCCATCTAGCACAAATGAGATGCCAAGGGCTCCAATACTGTTTGAACAGGCAAATGGCACCTACCCACCTCCTGCATTAAGTATCTCCCCAGTGAAAGCAAAGCATGGAAAACATAAACCCCATAAAAATTATGTGTTGCACACAGAAAGTGAAAAGCAATTTTGAGGCATGTCTTCTGCCCAGGCCTGCCACTCCAGCTGCCCGAGCAGTTTGCTACTTACAGATGAATCACCCCAGATCCAGAAGAGACTGTGCCCAGCAGTGGCTTCAGAACGAAGGAATCATAGAATCTCCTGAGTTGGAAGGAACCCACAAGGATCATCAAAGTTCACCTCCTGGCCTGCTCAGGACAGCCCCAAGAATCACACCGTGTGTCTGAGAATGTTGTTCAAATACTTCTTGAACTGGTCAAGCTTGGTGCTATGACCACTTCCCTGGGGAGCCTGTTCCAGTGCCCAACCACCCTCTGGTTGAACCTTTTCCTAATATCCAGCCTAAACATCCCCTGAAAAAGGATGCTAAAAGAAAGCCTGAACAATGACCTACGTCTTAGCTGGACATTGCTTGGGCAGTGCCATGGGCAATTCAGTGAGTTCATTGAGTATTTTCCAATTTATATATATGCACAGAAAAAGAACAGGACAGAACCAGTCTCCTATTTCTTCCTTCAGACTGCTCCTCCCATCATTAATGCTGAAAATCCCTCTTCAACAGGGATCACTGCAGAAGTTTTTATTTCCTCTCAAAGTAGCTGGGTCTTGATCAAGTATGACAAATGCAGAGCTGCCATGGGCCAAGCTTGCTGGGAGGGCCAAGTTTAAGGTGCAATAGCACATTGATCCTCACGATCAAGTTAAGCTTGTAGCCCATTTTCAACATAAGCCTACTCAAAAGCAATTTGTTCTTTAAGCAGAGTTAACAAAGACAGGCTCCCAGACTCCAGCTATTTGAAATGCACTCAGATGGGTCCAGATAATTGTTAGTGAAAAAGGAAAAAACTCTGAAGTTCTTGAATCCAGTAACAAAAACACTGAGCCCGACGAGGGAAGAGGCACGGCTCACACACCGACTGCTGCTGCCCTCTCCTCACGGGAATTTGTGACTCTTCTACTAAATGTTCTCAAAGGTGCTTTCTTCTTCCTCCCCTTTCTGTCACCCTCATGTAAAACCCACATTAAGAGCATAACAGGAACAGGATTAATGTATCTTTTTTTTTTTTAAAAACAGTTCAGGAAAGTAATTTAGAGCCTTGCTCTCAGTATTCCTAAAGCCAGTATTAAAAATCTTACTTAATGCAGAATATAATCTATAATTATCATGAATATGACAAGATTGATTTTATCTGCAATAAATATATAATCATATCCTGTCTTGAAGGTACCAGAGGTTATACTAAGCATTGAAAAACCTTTTCTTTCCACAGTCCTACAGAAAGAAATGTCAGATTCCTTCTACCACATGACCAGCTGACTCAGACATCAGTACAAGTCAAATACTAAGATTTTACTTCCCTGTAGGATCTGTTTGTTGATGTAATCTGCAGTACATCTACTAAAAACAGGAATATGAATTAATGAAATTACTGAGAGTAGTAGGCTATTCAGAGCTAAATGCAGAGTATAATGTAGTTTTATATATTTAGTTGATAAGTTGCATCTTCATCTCAAATAATTTAATAGGAAAATTAAATTCAAGTGTAAACTAATGGCAAGAGCCCTTTTTGTCAGCTGGATGCATTTCCCTTTGCAAAAATGAAATTAAAGCCAGCCTGCTACTTTTAAACAAAGCACTGGAGACATCACAATATACTATAAAGTCTGCTTTAATATGAATAATATTACCTATTATGCATTAATATGAATATGCATCAATAGGAAACAAAAAAATCTGAGCCAATAGCAGCTTAGCCAAAGAAAAGTTACTCTTGTCACCATTTGAGTACCTGGGAACAGTCAAGAGGTATTAAACAGGCAAGCTTAAAGCCTGTATATATATAAATTAAGGACAAAAAAATAAAAATGCTTTCACTTGAAAAGCAAACCAAAAAGAAGTTTAAGGTACTGTCACCTATATATCCATTTGTTCCATAAACTGAGGAAAGCCAGATTTTGACACCACATACCAAAATTAAGTGGATCACACACTATCCCTAAAGCAGCATAATCTCTGCACTCAGATTTATTTTTTCTTTCAGTCTCCTGTTTTAAGCCTCCTGAATACTTTCAGCTGTACTCCATCCACTCATATAATTATATCTCCACCTCAAAAATGGTTTGCCTTTCAGGCTGGCTAACGATTTGCTTTTTCTTTTGCCCCCCGTCAGCATCTCAGTGCATCTGAATCAATCACGCTAGTCAATATTCACACTGCATGAAGCACTGGCAGAAAAAAATCCTGTGTATGTTGCATATATATTTATGTCATAAAATCATGGTATGGTATTAGGCCAGTCTTCGCGAACGAAGATTTTGGGAAAGGTCTTTTACCTTTCAAGCCTGCGCAATGGATTTTTTAGGTGAGACACAGCCTGCGCTGAACTGAGCCCACCCTTTAATCCTAAGGTTCATCTGCCGGGGCCAAGCAAGCTTGGACAATGGCAGTGAGGTCCTCAGGACACAGGTTTGTTTAGAGTGACCTTCTCATAGATGGATGGCCTCACAGGGCTAACGAGCTCCATCTGCCCGGAGGGACTGGGAATCGAACCTGGGTCGCAGCGGTGAGAGTCCCGCATGCTAACCACTAGGCCACCAGGGGTCCCGTGGTATTAGATTCCACAATAAGAATGAGTTACAGAAACCTCAGAAGAACTATCCAGACAGGAGTGTCTCAAGATTTTGTAGATGAAAAGGAGCTGTCTGATCTAGGAAATGTAGCTAGTAATAAACCCACTTTTCATGTATTTCCAGCTGATCAGCTACATGTACAGAACAAGAGTAATGACACTTTTTTCTGCTATTTAAAAGAAAAATTGTCCTTCTCAGCAGTTAACAGAAGCCTGCCCTGCAAGAAAAATTCCTGTTGGATGGTGTTTCTCAGGACACAACCTGATACAGATGCATGGATGGGGGAGTGGGGTGTTGTTGCTGATAAAAAGGAATACATGCAAAGGGCATATGCAGATTTATGAAAAATAAATTTATTACATAACACCTTGTTTTAACAATGTTTGATTTTTTTTTTACTCAGAATACTTGTGTCATTCATGTAAAATAGTTTGATACAGTACATTGTATGTAAGTTTTTCCTCATAAATTCTAAGGCTCTCCTAACAGCTTGTTCCTCTGCAGTAGGAATGGCACCCCTAAACAACGTGCGAACATTTTAAAAAATAATTAACCGAACAAAATTTAAAATCCACTACACCAAGCTGGTTCTCAAAAATCATGACAAAATATCTGAATGGTTGCCACACCTTTTTAGGAAATATCACTCATGCTTTTTTAATCCCAAAGCATGCTCACAAATCATTAACACCAACAGGAAAAAAATAAAACACTGTCTATGACAATCATTTTAGTTTGTTTGCTGAACCAAACATGTTTATATCAATGACAACATACTTATTTTACTATCAAATAGCAGCTTTAATACCAGTCAAGTCATAGATTTTAAAACAAAACCAAAAACTTATGTTGGAAATTAATCTTTGGGACGTTTGTAATTGCTGGGAAAAAATGCAAACACTTTCATGTTCTTAAAAAAATCTCATTGTAGCAATTGTGTCAGTCATAAAACATTGATCTAGGTGGAAAATGAACCAACCCACAAAAGTCACTAAAAATAAACGTCTATCAAAACTGTCTGAGAGTTACAGTTAGTTTGCTTTTTTGCCATGGTAACATATACTGTATGCTTCAAGTACCAGTTCAAAGATGTTGTGTACTATTTGTCAGATAAAGTTGTTACATCAAGAGAATTCACCACATACGACAACAAAAATGCTTGCCCCTAGCACATTTCACAGCTTCAACTGCTACAGACTGTCACTGAAAAAAATGCATCGGTCAGCCTGAACCATGTCAAGTAAACTACAGAAGTAGCATATCCACAACACAAACTGTGCTAGCACTTTCTTTTCAAGTCTAACCCCAAAACCAGGTACAATTCAGGAGCCACTACTCCGCTCTGTGGCAGGGGGTGGATCGTGGTGGTCAGACAGGTTGGAGGTGTGGTTGTACAGTACATTCTCGTGGCCCAAGCCGGGTTCCAGGCAGGCACAGCTGCGCGGCTGGTCCTGCAGCATTAGCAACAGTGCATTGACGTCATCAGGGTGCAGCTCAGTACCGGTGAGTCTGATGCGAGTACTGTGGCGGCTGCTGGGAGGTAGCTGAATATCCCATGCTGCTCTGTGGCTGTGATGTGCTTGGTCCGGGGTTGGGGTAGGCAGC